CTACACTAAACATATTCAATGAATTTTAGGGAAAAAAGTATAATGTATTAATGTCCAATTAGTTTATAATTAGATCTTAGTTAGATCTTAAAAATCTTAGTAAGGATAAAGTATTATATTTATTTTATTAAAAAAACTTTCTCTTTTCTTTTCTGTTGTAATTTATAACATCATTTATTAAAAGGGTAAAAAAGAACTCTTTTAGGTCGCACCGTATTTTAGCAATTATGATAAGATAGAAATTATATAATTATATATAATTATAAAATGCTAACCTGAAGGTTCTAGTTCTAACCTCCGTACCTCTTGATCTGGTTTCTGGAGATTTGTATCAACCTGAAGATTATATATTTGGAAACTAATCCACCAGGCATAAATTAGATATCGTAGACTGTAATATTAGGAACTTAAATCTTAAAATAAATAGATATATTTTCAACACAATTTAACTATAATATAATAAAATATAATAATATGTATTTATATAAATAATTTAAAGAATTAAAACCAGGATAATTTTAATATGACCATGACTACCTGCTAAATGGTTTAAATAATACAGACTGTTTACCAGAAAATGATTCAAATACTCTGAACTCTGACTTCTGACCTTTAACATCTCAAAAGACTATAAACCATAATGGTTGAAAGGACTAACAAATATAAAAAGATCCAAGGACTACCTATTGCAAAATTATCCAAGGACTACTTGCCATAAACAAAGACTAAAAAACATAAATGTCTCCTTACAATTAACTGATCAAAAGAGACTGCAAACAATATCTGGCTCCCAGGACTACAAAATATAAAAAGATCTAAAGATTAACATTATAAAATGTCTACCAGGACTACCAATCTTAAAATGAAGACTACTAACCTTAAGCTGGACAAGGGACTCCTGTTCCTCTGTAGGCTTGATGTTAGTGTGTGTATGGGAGTGGTTGAATGGTATCCCCTGTCTCCTGGACCTGGCGTCCATGAATATTCTAAGACATCTCTCCAGGATGAAGAAAAGATACATTCCCAACCAGATCGCCATGGATATATTGAGATATCCATGATGAGGGAAAAAATCAACCTAGAAGAAAAAATAGAGTCTTTGACAAAAACTCAAATTTTCTAATCCCTAGATCTTGGCAACACAATGCCCTAGATATTTCAAACTATGAATTCTGTGTCCGAATTTAATGAATTTGAGCCAATCCGCCGATCCGCCAAAACCGGTTTCAATTGAGCGCCGGCTTAAATCTTGAAACATTGGATACAATTTTTAGTGGAACCCACCATATTTGAGCCGGGTCTCAAATTTAAGCCGCGTCTCAAATTCTTTAAATTCGACCACTGTTCGATCAAAAAATCAAAGGGTTTCATCATCAGGTTGCAAAGATATAGTGATTAGAAAATTTTAAGTTTGTGCCAAAGACTCAATTCCTTTAGCCAGTTCAGTTTTAACAGGAATCCACGCATTAAAAAAACAATTTATAATTCATACAAATAGGGGTGGATTATTCTTTGCTCCTTATACTTTATACTGTATAGTTTTGCAAAACTTAAAGAAAATGCAATACAAAGAATATCTTTTAATAAACGTCGACATTTCAATAAAAAGAAAAAGTATTGTCGTTCAATTAAAGTTTTGAAAGGGAAGACAAATTAAATTAAGAGAAGAGAGGATAACACCAGGAGATAATAAAAAAAACAACGCTGAAGATGAAAAATATAAGATTAAAATAAATTTTTTTTGAAGAAAACAACTCAAGACACTCCAAGCTAGACATAAGGATCAAGGTACTAGGGGGAAATGATTTTTGATGATTTAGGGGAAAAAATAAAAAATTCGACATCAAAAGACAAGTTCTTTTCATACTTTATATCCTAGAATTTATTTATTTTCCCCGTAAAATCATTCATTTTCCCAAATTCAGCGAACAAAACCTTAAACAAACTAATAAGTTCTTGGGAAAAGAAAATGATTTTAAAAAGGGAGCGGGGGTGATCCTTCAAGAAAATATACCCCACTGCAAAAAAACATTTAAAACTTGACCTCCTTTAATGAAAAAGCAGAAGGAATAAGATGAAAAACAGCAGAGCCACTTAAACTTCCAACCGCTAGTCCTGAGAGTAATTATAATTACAGTTTATAAAAAACATGGAAAAATAAACTCTTATAAAAGTAAACATTTATGGCGCTTTTACACCTGCTTTCTTACCACTGCTTTATTGATATCTGTTTTGCTAATCGTTTGCTCTAAACCCTTGTTCTATACGAGATTCGCAAATAACGTGTCATGAAGCAAATAATTACCAGAGCAATTGTAATGTTTTCTGTTCAGTCAATTCATAGAGCATATTGTAAATATGTATAGAGCAGATGTGGTAGAAACATTAATTATTAAACTATGTAACTAAGTTACTGAATTACCAACAAAGAAAATAAATGAAAAAATCTAGATAAAAAATATTGAAAATAAACCTATCAGTGCAGAAAGAAGGCGGGAGTAGAAAACCTTTGACATAAGAGGAAGGATTGCAACTCCAACTACCGAGGTCAGAGAGATCAAGCTCACACATAGGATACCATAACCCCATACCTAGAGTAGATATACAACTGTCACTAAACATTTACATTAACAATTTACAGTTATAAAAACAAGAATAAATCCATCAGTTTTGGTCAGACAAAGGTTTACAGAATACTATTGTGTCATTCTATAAACAGAGGGTCACATGAAAAAGCGTCTCCAGTCCCTTTAAGTTTAATTTTATAATAATAATAATAATAATCGCTGTCAAACCTTCAATCTAGGTTGTAACCCAGAGGCCGAATTTAAAGAATTTGAGCCGCGGCTCAAATATGGTTCGTTCCACTTAAAATCGTATTCATTGTTTAAAGATTTAAGCCGACGCCCAATTAAAACCGATTTTTGGCGGATTTAAGATGCGGATCCAATTCATTAAATTCGGACACTGAGCTCCCCTCCCTCCGTTTAAGTTCCAATGAATCAACCCAGATAAGAGCTGAGTGTAAATTCAGGGGTGAGAGACAAGCCTATAGCGGTCCGCCATCGACCATTCTGTACACTCTCAGATACCTAGTGATCCTGTCGGTATCACTAGTATGTTGAGATGTTCTGTACACTCTCAGATACCTAGTGATCCTGTCGGTATCACTAGTATGTTGAGATGTTCTGTACACTCTCAGATACCTAGTGATCCTGTCGGTATCACTAGTATGTTCAGATGTTCGAGATTGTATTTAGAGATTGAAGATAGTGAAACTCAAACAATAATGTTAAAAAACCATTAGTTTAAAAAAATAAAAGCTATTTTTTCAAAAATAAAAAAATGTTCGAACTTAAACTCAGAAACAAATATTTAAAAAATCTCACCTCTATTGGAGAAGGTTTGGCAGAAACTATTGTATCAAAAGATTGAAAATCTCTGTTAAGAACGGAGCAGAGCTCTTGGAACACAGTTAGGTTCACATCTAGGAGCAAGTTCAGATATTATCTAGTCTTCGTCACAACTTGAGCTTCAATATTTTATTTTAAATACAATATTCTCGCGCAATGTGTTTAATAAAATTTTTTTTAGTCCATGAAAGCTTATCCCTGGCCTGTGAATGAATTAAGTTATATGTTTCATGAATAATTATCTATGACGGATGAATATCAAAAGAACGATTCTATAACCTCGGTCAACATTTGAGCTCCGTGCAGTGTACGAACAATAACACTAACAATAAATAGAAAAATAACCTTTAAAATCCCAGAATAATTGGAAAAAGCCATGTAGAATGTATAATGATTTTAATAAGTAAATAAATTCAGCCCTTGTATTTAAACGTTTCCTATGCAAAGCAAAAGTTTGGTTTCAGTGAATATCTTTTTATTAATAAAACGACCAAAAACTATAAATGTACTATTAAAAATATACATATTAAACCTCTTTCGAATGAGTGGTAAAAGTTATATTTATCATAAGACTCTTATCAACAAAGATACTTTTAATCCATTTTCAAATATTTGAACCAAATTACAGAAAATTCGTGAAGTATAATATTAACAGGAGGGCTGGATCTTAGGTACCTCTCCGTGTGAATTAGCCTGAGTGTACACTTGGGATAGTTTACTGATAAAGGATATTAAGAGATTATAACCTATTCATACAAACATCAAATATGCAGTACGCTTTCGGAGTACAAGTGTATGGGGAGGTTTTGTATCTTGAATTTTTCCCAGTTTTCTCAGAACAGTTTATTAACGATGAAATATTGCCATGTAATAGACTGTGAATGTACATCTTCCTGTGAAAATGAAATCCTGAACACGATAAAGGAGTAGTGTATTTTAATAGTTACATGGAAAACAAATTCTCCATTTATATATTTTTAGAATTCACCCCGTGTACTGTAATATACAGATTGACCTTTCGAAGTGAATTACATGGCCTATACAATTAGTAAAACATTAGCGTACATCATCAATCTATATACTATAACCTCGTTGGATATTAACAATTCTAAATATAAATTCATTTATACATATACCTTTAGCGAGGTAGGATAGACAATGTTTTGTTTCTCTACATAACTGTAGATGCTGATAGGACTGATTAAACGTATCACATGAGAAGCTATTCTCAGCTATCCTGAAGAAGAGTTCCTCGTCCATCCTTACTCCGGGTCTACCCTAGTTAGCTAAACATCTTGTCTGAAATACATCAGGTTAGGTTTGAGAGTATGATATTGATCAACCTGTTGTAAGGTAACTGATTAATAAGTAGAACAAGATCTTGATCTATCCATGTGTTTGCAGTTCTGCTTGCTTGTAACATCTGTCCAAACCTGAATATAACAGATGTCAAGCTTTCCAGTAATATCTTCATTCAGAGTTGCCGTAGAAATTTTATAAATAGAATTTTTTAAACTTTATATCTAAAATTTAAAGGTAAAATGTTTCCTCTGAAAGAGTTGTAATATTACCAAAAAAATCCTGAACATTTTCTCTCTTGGTACTTATTGCTCTCTCAAAGCACGTTAATTCTTGATGCACAATGTTAGTTTTATAAATATGATGATACCCCCCCCCCCC